TCATTCCACCCCAAAAAAAAAAAAAAAGGTGAGATTCTTTTTCATTAAACCCAACACTTAACACCTTAATAGCCCTGGGCTACACAGCGCAGAAATTGTTTTGATTGTTATAAATATTCAAAAGATGAAACCATCTGTTTTTAAATTACAGGTAGGGCAGCTTTATCATTTTTATAACATGAGCACTTGGGGACTCGGAGGAGGGGCGCTTTGCGGCTTACAATAGAGTTTGAGTTTATGGATAACTTCAACATTCCTGTTTCCAATTGCTCCGATGCATCTTGAAGACCTAGAGATGCGCTCTCAGCATGAAGGCTCCTCAGCGGCAGTTACGCACCTCTTATCAAGAACCATTTTCCCTCTGAAGGGTTCTTGATGTGACTATAAGCTTCTTTGGAGATTTGTTTTTGATGTTGGATTATAGGTTGGTGTATGAACTGTTTTTTCTTCAAAATCATGTATGTTCTCTATGACATGGACTTCTATGATATATGGAGTTTAAAACGTTCTCTTATGACATCATATATGGACTTTAAAAAGGCTCTTCTATGACATCATATAGAACATGATTTTAATTGTTCATCAATGATATGAAGTATGGTATTTAAAAAATAAATCATAATAAATGTAAAATAGCTTTTCTATGACATCTAGAACTTAAAAATGGTCTCTATGACATCATATGGAACTTAAAAGCATTTGCTTATTGCATAATATGGACATTTAAACTGTTCTTCCATGATTCTTCTGTTCTCCCATACATACAGAGTTACAAAAAAAAGAGTTATCCTAAGACATCAAACTGAATTTTAAAAGGCTCTTCTATGACATCATATGAATCACAAAAAATTAGGGCTACCCACGTTCATATTCGCACGATTTTTTGCGCAGCTCGTCAGTGAACAACGGCTCTGTGTAGTTAATGCTGCTCAATGTGAAAGCACGCACATGATGGAGATTTACCGCTGATTACAGAACCGGCTTTCTGACAAGATGCGCATTAAATATCGCATGCGATTTATCGTGCAGCCCTACAAAAAATGTTCTTTTATAGTATTATATGAAATTTTAAATAGTTCAGTTATATCATATGGAGTTTAAAGTTCTCCTGTGAAATCACATGTAATTTACGAAGGCTCTTCTATATCATATAGATCTGAAAAACATTTTCTTATGGAATAATATGGAAATTGTTCTATGATTTCATATGGAAAAAAAGACTCTTCCACGACATATGGAACTTATTCTTACCATGTAAATGTTCTTACTGACATGGACATTTAAATAGTTCTTCTGTGATTTCATATGGAGTTTAAATGTTAAAATGTTCTCCTATGGCATCATATGGAATTGAATTTTAAATTGTTCTTCCATGATATATATTTAAATTGTTCTTCCATGATATGGAACCTAATGTTCTCTATGGCATCGTTCAGAAATACATCTAAAAATTATCTTCTATGACATCATATGGAACATTTGCTTATTGCATAATGTGGAAATTTAAACTGTTCATATGGAGATTGAAAAAGTTCTCCTATGACATCATAAGGAATTTCAAAATGCTCTTCTATGACATCATATGGAATTCTAAATTGTTCTTAAATGACATGTGGACATTTAAAGGGGTCATATGATGCTGCTAAAAAGAACATTATTTGGTGTAATGAAATGTGTTTATGCGGTTTAAGGTTCAAAAAACACATTATTTTCCACATACTGTACATTATTGTTTCTCCTCTATGCCCCGCCTTTCTGAAACGCGTCGATTTTTACAAAAGCTCATCGGTCTGAAAAGCGAGGTGTGCTCTGATTGGCCAGCTATCCAGTGCGTTGTGATTGGCCAAATACCTCAAGCGTGTGACGGAAATGTTATGGCCCTTACAATACTGTGATGCCCTGTCTGGCCGGAGCGACGAGACTAAAACATTAAAACCCATTATAAACGAGGCATTTGTTGCATCCAGTGGGGACATAATTACGGATTATAATGACTTATACTGTCTTTTTACGCGTTGCGTTGCATC